CATGAAAATCTCAGCAATAACAAAAAAAATCCAGCTATGGGGATTTAATTTGCCAGATTAAATATAATAATGTGTGACATTAATAGTCAGGCTATTCAAATATTTATCACTAAATAAAGTAAAATATTAAAATGAAATGGGTGCTTGCAATATGGCTCAGAGGTTAAAAACACTTGCTACACAATCATGAGAACCAGAGATCAGATATAAACACGTGTAAGGGGCTGCAAATCTCACAATGTCTGTAACTGTAGCTGTGAGGAATTCTATACCATCTTCTGGTCTCCATGTGCTCAAAAGTATGCATACCTGCACATACATATAGACATGCACTCACTCAGACACACAGTTAAATAAATTTTTAAAAATGTGATATAGATACAATCTAAGTATTTACCTTATGATAGATATATGAAATTACACACATGGCTGTATTCTTACCAGTTTCATATACAAAACCTAGTGGGAAAATGAGTTATTGCAATAGAACATATATTGACTTTACATCTATAAAAGATATTTTAATAAGTTAAGAAATGTGTATAAAAGTAGATGCAATTCATGTCATAAGAACAATAAAGATTGCAATTGTGAGATAATAATTACAGAAGAAAAAAAGAAGTCAATATAAACCTATTTTCTCTCTGATGGATTCAGTGAGTATTAATGGTTCTGAAGAAGATAGAAATTTTGAAGCAACCTATTAAGTAGATGACTGCTGGTGAACATTATTCATGTTAACGAACTTAATTTTGATTTGATTATTCACAACAAAGGAAGATAAAATTGTAAACAAACCATTATGTGGCTTTATTTGTATACTGAGAACATTGATTTTCATCTCATTACAAGAAATTTATGTTTTACAGATGTGAATTAGGGACTAGAGAGGGGGCTCAGCAGTTAAGAGCACTTGATAAAATTTTGGAAGACCCTAGTTTAGTTCTCAGCATTAGTGGTGAACAGTTGGCAACCACCTGCAACATTGTTTCCAAGGGTACAATGCCCTCTTCTGCTATAACTGTATACACATGGCATACACACACATAGACACACATTCTCATAAATAAAATTACTATAGAATGTAAGAAGAATCATGTAAATGGTATATAAATTGTTTGCTTTAATGATTCATTTGTTTACAAAGACCCTCACCAAAATAGTAGTAAATTTTTTAAGTCTTTGACTCAACAATGAACTAGAGAAATGAAGTCTGCCACCCCTGTTCTATATGCAAGTTACAATTCAGATTGTTGCACATACTATTCTGTGCAAATGATTATGTTTAAGTGACCCTTGGTGACTGGTGTAAACTCTTGAAATAAAATGAATCATTCTGCATAGTGAATTTAAACATGCATCCTTAGTATTAAAAAGTCAGACTTACCAATTCAATACTGTAGTCCAAATAAATCTCAAAAAACATATGTCCTTATTGTATGAATGTTCATCCTTTGGGTATATGCCCAAGAATGGAATTGCTGGATCTTGAGGTAGACTGGTTCCCATTTTACTGAGAAACTGCCATACTGATTTCCAAAGTGGTCACACAAGTTTGCAGTCCCACCAGCAATAGTGGACAGTTCTTCCCCTTTCTCCACATCCTCTAGAACATAGACTGTCATTGGTATTTTTGATTTTAGCCTTCTGGCCAGTGTAAGATTGTATCTCAGAGTTGTTTTGATTCGCATTTCCCTGATGGCTAAGGATGCTGAACACTTAAGTGTCTTTCAGCCATTTTAGGTTCTTCTATTAAGGAGTTTTTATTTAGCTCTGTGCCCCACTTTTTAATTGGATTGTTTGGTGTTTTGGTGACTAGCTTCTTGAGTTCTTTGTATATTTTGGAAATCCCCTCTCTGTCAGATGTGGGGTTGGTGAATATCTTTCCCCGTTCTGTGGGCTGCCATTTTATCTTGTTGACTGTGTCCTTTGCCTTACAATAGCTTCTCAGCTTCAAGAGGTCCAATTTATTAATTGTCGATCTTAGTGTCTGTGCCACTGGTGTTATGTTCAGGAAGCGGTCTCCTGTACCAATTTGTTCAAGGGTACCTCCCACTTTCTCTTCTAAGATGTCTGGTGTGAATGGGTTTATGTTGAGGTCTTTGATCCATGTGGACTTACATTTTGTGCATGATGATAGATACAGATCTATCTGCAATCTTCTACATGTCAGCATGTTCAACTACATTCATAGCAGTGTTGTTTGTAATAGCCAGAATCTGGAAGCAACCTAGATGCCTCTCTACCAAAGAGTGGATGGAGTAAATGTGGTACATTTATACAATGGACTATTACTCATCAGAAAACAAAACAAAACAAAAGAATTCTTGAAATTCGCAGGTAAATGGATGGAATTGGAAGAAACCATACTGAGTGAGGTAACCCAGTTACAGAAAGACAAACACAATGTGTACTCACTTATATATGGATATTAGACATAGAGCAGAGGACTACCAGCCTACAATCCACACCACCAGAGAAAACAGGAAATAAGGAAGACCCTAAGAGAGATATACATGGTCTCCTGAAGAAGGGGAACAGGACAAGAACTCCTGAGTAAATTGAGAGCATGAGGGAAGAGGGGAGGGAGGTAGGCAAAAGAGAACGGGATTGTAGGGGGGGGGGACAAGAGGGAGTCAGGGGACGAATAAAGGAGAGCAAGAAAAGAGATACTTTAATAGAGGGAGCCAGTATTGGTTTAAACAGAAATCTGGCAGAGATCCACAAAGATAACCCCAACTATGAATCTAGGCAGTAGTGGAGAGGTTGCCTTTGATACCCTTTCCCTATAATGAGATTGATGACTATCTTAATTGCCCTCCTATAGGCTTCATTCAGTAGCTGATGGAAATACAAGCAGACACCCACAGCTAAGCACTGAGCCATACTCCTGGAATCCAGTTGTAGAGAGGGAGGGAGGATGAGCAAAGCAGTCAAGATCATGCTGGAGAAACCTACAGAAACAGCTGTCCTGACCAGGGAGAGCATAGGTCCCTAGTCGTAAAGCTGAGGAACCAGCCTTGAACTAAACCAAGCCCTCTGAATGTGGGTGCCAGTTAGGAGGCCTGGGCAGTCTATGGGACCTTTAACAGTGGAACCAGTATTTATCCCTAGCACACAAATGGACTTTGGGAGAACATTCCCTATGGAGGGATACTATTTAACCCCAAATACATAGAGGAGGGCCTAAACCCTTCCCCAGATGATATGACAGATTTTGATGATCCCCCATGGAAGAACTCAGTATCCTTGGGGAGTGTGTGAGAAGTAGATTGAGGGGCCCAGTGGGGGCATGGCAGGATAGGAAGGAGAGGGAACGGGGGGATTGATATGTAAAATAAGATTGTTTCTAAATAAAAAAATAAATGTCAAAGAAATGTCACATCCAAAACTCTATATACAGTAATCCTTAAAATCTTGGAGACAAATATGTTCTTCATTTTCAGCTAACTTCATCAACATTAGCATAAACCTACTTCAGCATTCATTAATCAGTATGAATAGGTAATGTACCCCCAAAACTGACAAAGAAAACAAACCTGAAATTCAAGAACTGGTAGGAAGCTGTAATAACTTTCCAAGCATTTTAAAACTCAAGCTCTTTATTAGCAAGTGATGTTCAAGGGCTGACATAATCAAAATGAAGCTCTCTGAGACATGAAAGAAGGAGTGTTTTTGGATTCTCATGTCATTGACAATCCCTAGACTGAGAGCAATCAGACAGCTGTTGCTTTGAATTATAAAGAATTTTGTGACTCAAATCATAAAAATTCCTGATTCATCATAAATACAGAAATGATTTTGACTTTGATGGCACTCAGGGTTAGTTGGAAAAATAACATCTCAAAATCAAGGGGCAACATCAAAATACCAGTATTTAATCAGCAGGCTGAGCTGTGGCTTCTCCTAGAACAGATTTTGTTTCCTGTTGCAGAAAAATACTGAGTGCCTGCTTGCCTCATGCACATTTTAAGCCTCTCTACATCTCCTTTGAGCTTTTTGTGATTGGTGAGTTATTAGTTTCCCTAGAAGTTGTCATGAGAACATCTCAAGAGTAGTTCTCCTACCATGAGCACAGCTGTGACACCCTGGGAAGGTTGTGGAAATGAGTAAAAGGAATAGAAGTAGAAACTGTTGGCTGGCACACTGAAATACTTTCAGTGAACAGTAACACAGTTGTATTCACAGCCAGATCAGTTTGGCTATGGCTGGTTTCTTCCCAAATCAAATCAAATATCTGTATCTATTTCATAAATGGACTTATGGCCAGAACTAAATGGCAGGTAGACTTTCAAAAAACTAATCCAGGAAGCTGCTTGGAGGAAAAAAATCCATAGTTTTCTGAAATAGAGTGATTACCTTCAAATGACATCTGGCTTAAAATCCTAGAGGCTGTAGATTTGAGTTAGTGGGGGAAGCAGGGTAAAACATAAGGAATGATAGAAGAGGAGAAACAGCAGAAAACAAGCACTGACTTATAGACTCATTAATTTTACATTTTAATTATTCCATTCCTTAAAACATCTATGAGACTAGGACCATTTATGATATTTGTTTTCACTGTTTTAAGTGTGTATGTGCACATGGTTGCTGGTGCCTACAGAGGTCAGAGACATCAAAATTTCAGGAGTTAAAGTCACAGGTAGTTGGCAGATAATGGATATGGGAACTGCATACAGAACGAGGGTCCTCTGCTATAGCAGAAAGAGCAGAACACACTCTTAACTGTTGATCTATCTACCTAGCCCCACATTTCACCCACTACATAATGCTCACGACATAGTGTGGAGGCCAAGCTCCTACAGGTAGTTAACATGCTTCGTATGGTGCAGTTGAGAGCCCTGACCATCTCAGCAATCTGCTTCGTATCTGTACCCTTAGCTCCTTGATGGTATTACCAGAAAGTATTGAGTGAGTAGAGAGACCTTCCAGATCACGTGTATGTATTGTCTTAATATACAGACTATAAAGCTTCAGTCATTGTTCTCTTTGTCTTTCAGAAATTGAATCACGATGAGCAATTCATCTTTCCAGGATATAAAAGTTCAAACCAAAGCAATGTGAATATTGCTGCCTGATAACAAGGTATGTGTCACTTGCAATAGTTTTATAAGTATCCACCCTCCCTATTTTAATCCTGGAAAAAGAATTCTTAGCAGTGCTTTTCCCTGGTGTATGAGATTGGTGAAGGTTCTGCTTCCCTTCACTATACAAACTTCCAAGGTTTTCTTTTCTTTCAAAAAATTATTCTCATAAGTCTGTCTTGCTGGCTCTCTGAACAGTGACAATGTGTTTCATTTAAAAATACTTTCCCAAGTATTCCAGCTTTTCTCAGTGAGAAGATCAATTCAAAACAAGGTATTGGTACAGAGTTATTTATAGACCCTCTTCTCGACCTAAAATTGTAAGGTAAATTTGCAGGTTTTTTTTTGCCTTTGAAAATAGAGACATAGTGCTGGGGAGCTGGGGATGTGGTGTAGTGGGAGAGTTACTTTTCTAGCATGTGTGAGGCCTGAGGTTATATCAGCATCAACACACACACACACACACACACACACACACACACACACACACAGGCACATATGCACAGACACACACACACAATATACATACACATGTACAAGCATATGTAGCAGCATCTTGCCTGTGAACCTGTAACAGTGGCCATGCCCTTTGGGTATGATTTAGGATGTGGATGTGACCCATTTAAGGTAGAGGAGCTGGGGACAAAAGTCCCCTTTGGGTCTTGGAGAGCATCAGAGAGGCAGGGTCTGCTTCCTTTGAGCAGGGATGCCACGACAGTTACTTGCTGTTACCTGTGTAAGTTCTTCCCCAATAGAACACCTGTTTATCATTTATCCTGGGTATGGTGAACTCATTTAAACTATGCCTTCAAGCATATATACACATGCATGTACGCACAACACATGGATGCATGCATGTGAATGCACACATAGTGCAGACACGTGTGTATGCACATGAATATATACTCATGTCCGCATAAAGAAAACTTATCATTTTTCCAGTAGCACAATAATATTTTCTGATTTCCAAATGTTCTTGAACAAATCTTGGGCAATTTAAGCAATAAGTTGATGTATACCATTCAGTACTATTTCCATTTCCCTCTTTTCAAATATTTTTGTTTGCTTCTGTGTGTATGTATGTGTGCATAATGGTGCATGTACACATATGGACATGCATGTGCAGTGCAGAAGTTAATATCTGACCATCTTCTCCAGTCGTTCTCAATTCCATTTTATTTTTTGACAAAGACCTCTAACTAAGCCTGACGCTTATCAATTTTACTGTCTGATTGGGCATTTAGCTCCAGGAATCCCCGCTTTCATCTCCCAAGTGCTAGAATTGCAGATGCACATATACCTCTGTACCTAGACTTTAATGTGCATGCTGGGAACCAAGCTGAAGTCCCCATTCTTATGTAGCAGTCACTTTATTGACAGATACATCTTACTAGCTCCTCAAATAGGTACATTTTATTGGTATTTATTCTCCAGTGTTTATAGATTATGCTAAGCACTGAACACAAGACTCTGGATCAAAGTTGTCACAAGTGTGACCCTCATCTTTCAGTGATCATGAAATGGTGATATGATGTCATAAATAACCTGAGCCTTTAGTCATCTCCTTATGAATGAAGAAAAGCAATTCATTCTGGTTATAGGAGAGGTCACTGCACTATACTGTTCATAAGTAGCATTGCAGGTATGAAGCAAAATTCGAGTGTGTGCCATGAAGAGACAGACAATGGTTTGTGTAGGTATGTTGCTTCTAGGGTCACTTTTCTGTACTCCCTCTTGTTTGGTGAATACACTATTTACTTTGAATATGTATTTCCTCCCCTTTAGTTCCAATTGGCAATGACAGGATTGGTTCTAAATTTATATCAGTTCAAAGGGGAATCAAAGGCCAAAGTCTGGCTAGGAAAAGCACAAGATCCTCAATAAACAGAGAACAGTGTAGCTACTGCACACAGAGCTCCATGCTCTGTGGTTCTAAGAAGTGTTGAGTAACACATTAGTTTGTCTTCTCGTTGCTGAGAGAGAAGACTTGACAGTGCAATTTAGAGGAGGGGAGACTTGTTACCGCTCATGGTTTAGAGAGTGCAGCTAATCTCTGTCTACATTGGTATAAACTTGTGGTGAAATTTCTTCACATCTCCAGGGACCAGTAAACAAACAAACAAACAAAAAATGGGCCACAAGTGGTGCCAGGTTATACCCCCCAAAGCTCACCACTAGTGCCAACAGCTGCCAGTCAGGTCTCACATCTCCAAAGTTTGACAACCTCTTAAAATAGCATTACCAACTGGGAGAACACATCAAAGTTTGACTTATATGTGCCAACAGAAGGATAGCCTGCTTGTTTGGACAGTAAAAGATACTTCCTGGCAAGGAAAAGGAGTGTGAGGATCTTAGATGGGAGAAGAGCAGGTTGCCATCCAACAGAATCTACACATTTCTTTTTTCCTTTCCTTTCTTTTTTTATTTAAATTAGAAACAATCTTATTTTACATATTGATACCAGTTTCCTCTCCCATGCCCCCCACCGAACCCTGCATCCAATCCTCCTTCTGCTCCCCAGGTAGGGTGAGGCCTTCCATAGGGAATCTTCAAAGTCTGTCACAACATTTGGGGCAGGGCCTAGACCCTCCCCCCATGTGTCTAGGTTGAGAGAGTATCCCTCTATAGGTAATGGACAACCAAAGTCCATTCATGCACTACAGATAAATACTGATCCACTACCAGAGGCCCCATAGACTAACCAGGCCTCTTAGCTGACAACCACATTCAGGGGGACTGGTTCGGTCCTATGCCTGTTTCCCAGCTGTCAGTCTTGTTTATGTCTTCCTTTTTACTTGAACGTCTTTAAATTTGTATTCTTCAAATCTAAAAGGTTCTGAATAATATATCAGTAAGTAATGATTGCTATGAAGGGGAAGATTTTAAGTAGAAAAAATAGAGTTTCAAAGGAAAAGACACAGAGATGATGCTACTGGCATCTGCAAGGGAACTTACACTTTTCATAAAACTCTTGAAATCAGAAAAAAGGGTTTTTAAACAATTAAATATATCTGTCAAAATGTAAGGTATAAGAATTAAACACAGGAATCCATTGCAACCTTACCATGCACTCTGTTCTGGAATTCAGTCTTCTGCATTACAGAGAAGGATCATGGTCACATCTGTACCAGGCCTGGCATGGTCAAGTTGGAATGCTATACCAAGCAGCATCATGGTATTGTCTTTTGGGGGGTGATTACTTGATTCAAGGAATCAAATGCAAGTCATTTGATGTAAGCACCATGGACCATGTACATCTTGCCCCCTTTCCCTCTAGGCTCTCCATTTGCAAATCTCAGTCATGTAGAATCTCAGAACATCAAGGCGCAGATGTGTAACTATAAGTTGTTTCAAGTCTACTGGGGCTAAAGACTCATGTGAGCTGAATGAGATTGATTGAGACAGTTTTCAGGAATCTGAAAGCATTGTGCTTTAATTACAAAATTGCAGGTTAAATAAGCTAACAAAAAAGGAGGACAGGAAATTAAGACAGAGGCAGGCTGGGAACCCAGGGATTTCTGCTGCCACTGAACAGATGCTGGGATGCTTGTCATGTCCCCTTTGAGAGATGACTACATTTGCTAACGTCAGATTTCCTGAATAAGCTTTGGAATTCCATCATATGGGCTTGTTTTTGAACACACAATATTTATATAATGCTTGAAGTATATTCTGGAGAAACAAATTAACTGCCTCTCTTTCATGATGAAAAGATATAAATGGAATGCCTCACATAGACACACTGAAAAATGATTTATTTCTATTTTATGTTAATAATTGCCCTGGAGTTCTAGAAAGCACATTGAGAATTTGTTTTTACGACTTAACAACACAGCCACTTTAGCATTTGTCAAACCCTCTGTGCTCTTTGAAGTCACTGCTGCGGGTACAAGGTGCCTATAACGTCATGTCTGACCCATGGGAAGCTTTTTAATGATGATGTTGGCACTGTGATTTATAGTCAAACTTTTTTTTAATCTTAGAAGCAGTAATAAATATATCTGCTTAATTCTAAAACTACTTCCACCAGTCACTTGTATTCACCTGCTATTTCTTTCCTTAAGTGACTTTGTTTTATTTTCTATTGAAATTTTTTTTCTATTCACAAAATAGAATCTAGGAACCATGTTACGATATTTTGAGTTTCAGTTGGCACCTGAGTTAATTGGCCAACAGTGACAGCAAAGTGTTTGTGCAGAGGGAGCTAATATAAAATCCAGAATATAAAATCAAAGCATCTGCTTAGGAAAGAAATGTTAACATAACAGTATTCAAAATAGCATACGCAAATAAAAGCAGCAGGAATCTGGTGGTCAGAGGAAGCCTGGAGATCAGATTAATCACCATTCCATTTGAACCTTCCTGTTCATGTCAGCCCACTACCTGCATCTGTTGTACATAGATGACATCTCTGTGAGGGAGCCCAGACTAGATCAGTGTCCACACTGGGATAAAGAGCGCCCACAGTTCACAGAAGGGGTCTTCCTTTCTTCATTTTGAAGAACTCAGTTACATCAACTGCAGAGAATTAATGATCTAAGTTTGCAGATTCATATTCCATAGAGACTTAAGATCACTTAAGATCTAGAATCCAAGCAAACTTTATGTTCACAAAGAATGATCTCCACCAGATGCCCATCCTGAGCCTCATAGGAACAATGTATACAGCTTACCTATGAGGACTGGTGCAAAGACCCTTAGGAAATAGATCAGTCACAACATATCTTGTGATTTAGTGCTCAGGTCCATCATGGAGGTGCAGGCTTTTAAGCAACTGGGAGGCAAAGGCAGGGGTATTTTGAATTATATGCTGAACTGAAATGTTAAATGAGATACTTCCTCACAAAATCGACAGCAATTTTTCAACTGAAAAAAAAGGATTACATGGATTTAAGAAACAGTTAATATCCTACAGTAAACCTTGAATTTGCCTTTCCACTACAGAAATTATTTGCACCTCTTCCAGTAAAATTTCTTAAATTCACATGTAAACTTATAGTC